TTTGAAATTTGTGGCGATATACGAAATGTAAACAGAAATACTGAAAACCCCTGAAGAAACAAAAAAGGCCTCCCCTCCTCGTCTACTGAGCTCCTTAAAGCTTTGTTCTACCCAGAAATAGCACCAATTTTCCAATTCACTGCCACCTTATGGCATTTCAGAGAGATAACACTTCAGTAATTTCTATCGGATGCTTTGTATTTTCAAGGCAGCCTCCCTGGGATCTTGGATGTTACAGGAACACAGCAGCTGTACAACTGCCCCTTGCATCCAGATTTGGAACAATATTAATGCTTGAGATGCTGGATTATATCTGCTTGTGAAAACTGATCATTAAAACGTCAATTCTATTTATATTTGCGGATTCTAAAGGGAGGTCATTTCATCAGCCAAGGGGCCAAAAATAAATATGAACTTAGCAATGTTGTCAAAAGAGAATCTTTCAGTCTAAAAAAGCAACTAGCTCACTCATGACTCTCCCAAATGACTTTAATTGTCGGTCCATTTTTGAAATTGAGGACGAAAGCTTAACAGATGCCCTTATTGTGTGTTTAGGGTTTTCTGAGAGTAGTCTTAGCCAAGGAAAGAATCTGTGAGAAGATTAACAGAAATTGGAGATGCTTTATAGTTTCCCATCCCTTCAAAAACATCGTAATCCTCCTTTAAGCACACTTGTGTGGTTTCCTGGTAGGTGAGAAGACGCTACGGCTTAAATGGACAGGCTTTGGAGAGCTGGTTGGTTAATTATTACTTGGAACAGTGGGCAGGATTACCTAATAGGAAATAGAGCAGCTGGGATTTTTGTAATGTGCATTCCCCTAGTGGATGAATCGGCTTGGTATTCAGAAAAGCGAGATCAGCAGTAACCAAGAGTTTTGGGTTTGATATGGATTGTTTTGGGACTGAAGAGGAAACTGGGTGATTTTAGGGAAGGGCTATACCATATACAGGAGGACAAGCATAAAGTTGTTTTCCTAAGGGAGCCTTGTTCTCTGTAAGTGAACGAAGTTGATTTCCCATTTTTATTATCAGGTTGTAGACTCGTTATAAAGCTTTAAGGGACGTTTTTCAAATAAACACAATGTAAATTATGCATTGGTCTGATTTTTATTTACTACCATATGAGTAACAACAAATGCTAAACCAAAGAGCTCACCCTCCTCCACTCGCTATTTTCCAGACCACCACCAACTTTTTCAAGTAACAAAGCTCAGCTGTCTCTTTTAAGTCAATTGTCCTGTTTATGAAGTCTTTTAAATTACTTAATCAGAAAATAAGAAAACGCAATTTGCGTTGGCATTCTGGTGCCCAAGGCCAAAAAAAATAATTTCAAGCTCATGACTTGAATGTCTGGTGGTGCATTTCAGGTAGAGAGGTGGACACCGCCTAGTTGCATATTTACTTTGTCTTTTTATGCAACATCACTCTTTAGAAAACTATTCCAATCTGTAGCCCTAATTTTTGATAAATAGTCATAGCTGGGGCCAACAGCTCCACCAAAAGTGGAGAGAAAATGTCTTATTCATAGTTGGTGACTTACTGAGACTGTGTCTCAGCAATGTTTGATACAGTGGTGTCTCAGAGTGGGGCTGGGATGATGAGTATGGCAGGGTGGTTTAGGGGTAGCTGCAGCACCACTCCAGGACTGTGATTTCAGACCGCCTCTTATAGTCCTTGTTAGGGCACACCGCTCTCAACTGCCAGTTTTCCAGCTGTACAGGGCTGCACAGGTAGCTCATGAAGAATCAAACCTTAACAACCCCCCCGCTCCTTTGCAGTAGGTAAAACTATTCAGCGTTTATCAGCAGGAAAAAAGGCTTCCAGCAATCCGAGCACCCCGGGGCCAGCAAACTGCTGAACAGGACCATTGTGAGAGACCGGGTTTGTTTTCTGCTTTGAAAACAGCTCTTGTAAAGGATAAATTTTAGCTGCCTTTGGCCAGGTCTTTGTTTCCTCACATAGCAATGTTGTTCAGAACAGGACTGGAAAAAAAGTTAAAAAAAAAAAAAAAAGTAAATCTGGCAGTATTTTGATGCCTTGAAAAGAAAACAGCAGCTCCTAGCTAGATTTTAACACTGGCAAGAAGTGCTTCTGCTAGTCCAAGTTATTTTGTTTGCGGTATAAACTATTCTGGCAAGAACACTTCTTTTTTTTTTTTAATGGCACAAGCAAGCGGTGCTCAATTTTTGCTGAGGTCTGCCACGTAATTTTACTGAGGTCACAGCAGGGAGCAGCACTCCAGCTTTGCCAGGGCTGGGAACTGATGCCCCCCGGGGATGCTTCAGAGCCCGGAAGAAGTATAAGCTCTTCCAGAACAGCGCCTGGGACTCCGGCCAAGCCCAGTCCACTCGTGGTGGCACCGAACTCTCTACAACTTCGTGAAAGGACACTGGAGAGAGGTTGGTGCTGGTCTCTTCTCACAGGTAATTAGTGACAGAACGAGAGGGAACGGCTTCAAGCTCCAACAGGGTAGGTTTAGATTGAACATTAGGGAAGAATTTTTCACCGAAAGAGTGGTCGGGCATTGGAACAGGCTGCCCAGGGAGGGGGTGGAGTCACCATCCCTGGCTGTGTTTAAGGGCCGTTTAGATGCAGTGCTAAGGGACATGGTGTAGGGGAGGACTTTGTAGAGTAGGGTAGATGGTTGGACTCGATGATCCCAAGGGTCTCTTCCAACCTAGACGATTCTATGAAATGCGGATACAAGGACCATATTAGCGGCTCTAATACAAATTGTGTTTCCCGTGAGGTCTTGCCGATAACAGATGAATCGGGGGCACTTTCTAAGAGTCTCGATCTCTTTTTTTTAACCCCCATCCCTCAGCTCAGTTTCTGCAAAATAGGGTTATTTCCACCACATCACATCCCACCCTGGCGGCTTCCAGCGTATCCTTATCCTATTCTGTTTTAACAATCCACCTCACCAGGCCGCTTGCCGCCGCCGGGTTTTCCCCACCAACTGTCACCACAGGCCTCACAGGGCGACAACACCGCGCCCCGTCACCGCGGCTGGTTCGATGCGGGACCGAGGCCTCGCCCTCAGGCTCTGACGGTTTTTGACAAAAAAGAAAGAAGAAAAAAGCCCGTTATTTCGGAGCTGCTTTCCCTCGCGGTGGGACAGGCCTCGGAGCCGGCTCCCCTCAGGCGCGAAGGGCGTGCCCAGACCCGCAGGGCCGCGGCCGCCACCCTCTGCCCCCGGGCACGCCCTTCGCGCCGCACTGAGCACGCGCGCCCCCCTCCCCCTCCGCCCGGTGAGGTCATAAAGGTGAGCGGCCGTGCCCCGACGGCCCCTGGGCTTCGGGATTGGTCGGCGGCGGAGAACCGGCTTGCGTCTTCGGGCCGCCTCATCGCCGCCAGCCAATCGGAGCGCTCTGGCCGGGAGAAAGCCAATGGCGGCCCGCCCCAACGTTCTCCGCCTCGGGCTGCGGCTTGAAGCCGTCCCTGGGCGGTGTGACAAAGGCAGCGCAGCCTCCGATTGGCTACCCAGCTTCGCCTCTCTTCGGGTTGGTCCGGCAATATCCGGAAGAGAGGGCTGCCTTCCCATTGGCTCGCCGACCGCGCTGCTAGGGCGGCGGCGGCGCTTTCCGATTGGGCCCTCGTTGCACTTCGGGGAGACTCGGCTGCGCCCGCGATTGGCTACGACCCGTTACGGGCGTTTCCGTAAGGAGCTCGGGATTGGTCCCGAGGCGGCTCGGGAGTTTCCGTCAGGGCCTCGAGCTAGCGGGGGGGGCCTGGCGAGTGCGCCGGGCTCTTCGGCTGGCTATTCACAGAAGGTGTTTAGGGCCGTTCCGCAGCGTAGGGCGGCGACGGGCATAGGCGGCTGCGCGGCTTGGGCGCACGCACAGAGCGCAGCGGCAGGAGCCCGGCACACAGCGGAGAGGCAGCAGCAGGGACAAAGGGACCGATCGAGCAGAAACGGGGAGGGGGGCCCGGCGGGAGGCAGCCGGCGCCGGGAGGGAGCGGCAGGAGGCTTCAGCCGGGCGGGCGAGTCCCATGTTCGTTGGGCGCCTGGGGAAGCAACAGCAACAACCGCCGCCGCCCGCGCTCTGAAGCCGGTTGAGGAGGAGCCGCCGCCGCCGCCGTCATGGCCTGCGCCGCCGCCGCCGGCCGCCGCCCGCAGTGCAGCCTCACCAGCCTGAGCCGCCGCCAGCTGCCCCTGCGGGCGGAATGAGGAGCCGCGCCGGAGCCGCCGCCGCCTCAGTGCTGTACTGAGGAGCCCTCAGCGAGAGAGAGAGCGAGCGAGCGAGGCCGCCCGGACCGCCTCACCCCTACTCCGCCCGCCGCGGATCCCACCGCCTCTGCCGGATCCCCTTGCGAGCGGCCGCACCACCTCCTGTCGGCGGATCCGGGAGCCCCGAGATCCCTCCGCCGGGGGAGGAAAAATAGTCCCGCTCCCTGCCGCCTCCCTCAGAGGCGAGGGGGAAGGAGAGAAGAGGGGAGGGAGAAGGAAGAGGAGGAAGAAAAAGAAGAAAAAAAAAAGAACAAGGAGGGGGTGAAAAAAAAAAAAAAGAGAGAGAAACCGGGCGACGGGATCAGAGGAGCCGGGCCGTCAGCCTCCGCCCCATGTGACTGGCGCCCAGGGAGGGGGCAGCGAGGCCTAGCGCACCCCCCGCCATCGCGGCCGGGGGCAGGAGCGGGAGCGGCGCCGGGGCGGGGGGGCTGCGGACGGGGCGGAGGCGGCTCTGGGACCCACCGGCGCTGCCGGGAAGGATGGTTTTGTGAGGAACGGGCGGCGTGAGGAGGAGGAGGAAAGAAGAAGAAGAAGGAGCAGCAGCAGCCGGGCGGGCGAAGAGCGAGCGGATTGGGAGCTCCCAGAGCCTGTATTTCCTTCTTGTTTCCCCCCTCCTTGAAAGGAGGAAACGAATTGCGGGCACGTAGGTATGGCCGTGACATTCACGTTCATTATGTGTGGTTTTTTGTGTGTGTTTTTTTTTTTTTTGGCGCCCAGGGAGGGGGCAGCGAGGCCTAGCGCACCCCCCGCCATCGCGGCCGGGGGCAGGAGCGGGAGCGGCGCCGGGGCGGGGGGGCTGCGGACGGGGCGGAGGCGGCTCTGGGACCCACCGGCGCTGCCGGGAAGGATGGTTTTGTGAGGAACGGGCGGCGTGAGGAGGAGGAGGAAAGAAGAAGAAGAAGGAGCAGCAGCAGCCGGGCGGGCGAAGAGCGCGACCAAAAAGAGAGGAGAGAGAAGAGAAAGGAGAGGTGATCGGGGCCAGAGCGGGAGACCATGTCCGGGCGGCCCAGGACCACCTCCTTCGCGGAGAGCTGCAAACCGGTGCAGCAACCCTCGGCCTTCGGCAGCATGAAAGTTAGCCGTGAGTATCCTGCGCGGGGGTGTCTGTCTGTCTGTCTGGCCCTGCCAGGGGCTTTCCTTCCCTCCCCCCAACCTCCCCGCTCCCTCCACCGAGGCGGCGGGGCGGGAGCCCGGCCCTGGCGGAGGCAGCTCCCTTTCTCTCCCCTTCCCTCCTCCTCCTCCCCCCACCATTAACCTTGAATAGGCGCACGCCGCCGCTTCGTTTGGGGCCTGGTGGACAAAAAATAAAATAATAAATGCCCGTTGGTTTGTCCTTTTCCTTAGCCTCTGATCACGGCCTTTTGGCTAATTAAAAAGCCCTCCCCCCCCCCCCCCCCC